ATATATATATTTCTGGCCTTCAACCACTTCACATCCATTCACACAACATCAAAAATTAGCTTAAGCTCTTCAGAAAGCTCTTCTCTTTTTTTTTCACTTGCTCCATGTGTCAGATGTTTAGCTACTCCTCTGCCTCCTTTAGTGATAATGATACATGTAACAAATGTAGTCTTATGGTAGCTTTGGAGGAGAGGCTGTCTGAACTGGAAGCTCAGCTCCGCGCTGTAGAAAAACCAGTAGCTAGCCAGGTCCCCTTAGACAGCGTGGAACCACAGAGACTAGCTCCTGTTAGCGGTCCTCCAGCAGACCCCAAGCAGCTGGGACCCCAGGCCGGCTGGGTGACGGTCCGGAGCAAGCGTAGTGCTAAGGATAAGCCCCCAGTTCACCACCGACCCGTTCACGTTTCTAATAGATTTTCCTCGCTCAGTGACACACCCCCTGAGAAGCAGACCCTGGTTATTGGAAGCTCCATAGTCCAAAACGTGGCTTTAGGGACTCCAGCAACCATAGTCAAATGCATTCCGGGGGCCAGAGCGGGCGACATAGAATCTTATCTGAAACTGCTGACTAAGGCTAAATACAGTAAGATTGTTATTCACGTCGGCGGTAATGACACCCGGTTACGCCAATCGGAGGTTACTAAAATTAATGTTGCTTCGGTGTGTGACTTTGCTCAAACCAAGTTGGACTCTGTAGTTTTCTCCGGCCCCCTCCCCAACCTGACCAGCGATGAGATGTTTAGCCGTATGGATGAGGAGGAGCTGTAATCGTGGTTCACGCGGTCTCCCCGTAGCCGGGACCTTCTCTCTTCTTCGAGGACCAGGAGGGGAGAAGGCAGGATTTCCACCTCCTGGCAGTAACTTCTTTGTGCCGGCACGGGTTGGATCTGGAACCCGTCACACCGGAACACGATCTCCTCCATCTGCGTGGGCTCAAGAGTACATGTAAGGAATTCTGTCTGCTGGGTTTTGATTTTGGTCGGTGCATACTGTCAGGATTTTCAGGCTGAGCTGAACAAGAACAAACCCATGTGCAGACAGGACGCAGAGGCCAGGACATAAGCTGTACCAGACGATGCACCGACAAGGATTGAGACACAGACCAGAGCTTATATACACACAGACTGGATGAGACACATTACAAACACCTGGAGGACACGTGGGTGGAGCTGATCGGGGTAATTACTGAGAAACACTAGGGCGTACAGACACAGTGAGACTGACAGAGGGATACCATCCTTACAACGACTGGCCCAGGGTGCTGCTGTATGCTTTTCCACTGCTTCCCCTGATAAGCCCAACATTCCTGAGAGTCCTTCAAGAGGGGCATCAAGTCCTCCTAGTGGCTCCCCTCTGGCCTGGGAGAACTTGGTTTCTACTGTTGCACAGGCTCTGTTGCAACTCTCCAATACCTCTACCCCACAGGAAGGATCTCCTGTCACAGTTGGGGGGTCAGATCCTTCACCCCAATCCCAGTCGCCTCTGGCTCTGGGCTTGGTCACTACAGGGCTTGGCATTACCTTCTCAGAGTATGATGAGGAGGTCGCACATACAATGAACCCTTCCACACGACTGGTGTACACACACATAAGTGGAAGGTTTTCAGCAACTGGTGTTGTGCCAGACATGAGGACCCTGTACACTGTTCTCTTTCTGTTATTCTTACTTTCCTTCAGGTGCTTCTTTCTCAGGGCCGGTCTCCATCCACCCTGAAAGTTTATGTTGCTGCCATCTCTTGCTGGCATACGGTGGTGGGTGGGGAAACAGTAGGTCGTAACAAGGATTTGTCCTTGTTTCTGAGAGGTGCCCGACGTCTGCACCCCCCACGTGCCTCGTCGTGCCTGTGTGGAACCTCTCTCTGGTCCTTGCTGCCCTGCGGTCTGCTCCGTTTGAGCCCTTGGGGGATGTGAGCCTTGAGTGCTTGTCTAATAAGACCGCGTTTCTCCTGGCCATGGCTTTGGCCAAACGAGTAGGTGAACTACATGCACTGTCTGTTCATGAGCACTGTTGGAACCCGGCTGGTTTGGGTGTTACCCTCTGGCCTAACGTAGCATTCCTCCCTAAGGTGGCCTCATCTGCGACCCACTGTCTGCCTCTCCAGCTTGCTCGCTTCGATGCAGATGGTGCTGACGAGCCTCTCTGCCCTGTTCGAGCACTGGAAGTGTATGTCAGATGGACAGCTTCTCTGCGGCAGTCTGATAATATGTTCATTTGCTATGCAGGGCCTCGCAAAGGGCAAGCCCTTTTGAAGCAACGACTTGTGTGCTGGATTGTGGATGTGGTAGAACAGGTGCACACTCGCAGGGCCACCAGCCACCTGTAGCGTGTCATGGGCCGCTATGAATGGGGTCACTCTGGAGGTGATATGTGCAGCAGCCTCCTGGTCATCCCCAAATACCTTTGCTAGGTTCTACAAGGTAAACCTGTCTCCTTTTCACCCATTGGAGGGGATCCTATCACAGCACTCATCTTCTTCTCAGTAAGGTGGGCATACTTAAATTTTGTTTCTTCTTGTGGGTGTGATTCCTCAGGACTCTGTTGGCAATCGTCATCCAGTGCTTTAAGCACCGCCTCTGGCCGTCAGTAGGGATGAAATAGAACAAAAGTTACGGCTGTAACTATGGTTCTATGAATCCCGGATGACCGCCAGAGTACTCAGTTCCTCTGAATCATTGTGTTTCGCGAGAAGATTAAGGGACTAGGCTACTGTTGTCTTATATGAGACTCAGTGGGATTTACCTGTCTAAATAAAGGTTGAATGAATATAGACTCACTGGTGTCCCGGGGGTCACACGTGACTATGTTGGCATAAAATACTCAACCTGCGCATGTGCAAGAATGATCATTCAGTGCTTTAAGCACCGCCTCTAGCGGTCATCCAGGATTCATAGAACCGTAATTACAGCTGTAACTTTTGTTATGCTGCTATAGACTTAGACTGCTGGAGGACAAACTGACCACATTTCCTCACTCTGCTTCTGTCTTTACTTGCTCTACTTGAAATGTTTGTATTTCTACATTTTGTATTTATATATCCATTGCAGTTTGCCTACCGGCCTGGCATTGGGGTGGATGATGCCATCATCTACCTCAGGCACCAAGCTCTGACCTACCTGGAGAAACCTGGAAGCACCGTGAGGATCATGTTCTTTGATTTCTCCAGTGCTTTCAACATCATCCAGCCAGGACTTCTGCGGGACAAGCTGGAGTTATCAGGAGTGGATCACCACATGTCCCAGTGGATACTGGATTACCTCACTGGATGCCTACAGTATGTGAGAACACAGGGCTGTGTCTCTGACATGCTGGTCTGCAGTACGGGGGTCCCACTGGAAACTGTGCTGGCACCGTTCCTCTTCACCCTCTACACTGCAGACTTCACAATGAACTCCCCACACTGCCATCTTAAAAGTTCTCTGACTCTGCCACAGTCGGCCTCATCACAGGTGAGGACGACTCAGAGTACAGACAGTGGACACAAGGCTTTGTGGACTGGTGCCAGCAGAACCAGCTCCTGATCAACGCTGCTAAAACTAAGGAGCTGGTTGTGGATTTCTGCAGGCACAGGTCCACCTCACTGACCCCGGTGAACATCCAGGGTGTGAACATCGAGATCGTGGACTCTTACAAGTACCTGGGTGTTCACCTGAACAATAAACTGGACTGGTCTCACAACACTGATGCACTTTACAGGAAGGGTCAGAGCAGACTCTACCTGCTGAGGAGACTGAGGTGTTTTGGAGTGCAGGGGGTGCTCCTGAAGACCTGCTTTGACTCAGTAGTGGCAGTGGTGTTGTGTGTTGGAGCAGCAGCTTATCATCAGCTGAGAAGAAGCAGCTAGATAAGCTCATCAAGAAGACCAGCTCTGTGCTTGGACGCCCCCTCGACCCAGTGCAGGTGGTGGGAGACAGAAGGACTCTAGTTAAAATAACATCATTGCTGGACAACGTCTCCCACCCCATGAAGCTGCTGCTGAACTGGAGAGCTCGTTCAGTGACAGGTTCCTGCTCCTAAATGCACAAAGGAGCGTCACCGCAGCTCCTTCCTCCAGCAGCTGTTAGACTCTACTACATCACTGCTCCAACAAACTCAATAAGGGTTAAATACATGCTGACCTCTGCTGAAACACACTCTGCCTGTAATACTGTACTGTCAATAGTCTGTCCTTATCAATGTTCCAATACATATTGAACATTATTATTGATATTGTTTATCTTATTTCTTTATATATTGTATTGTTTATTAACATTTAGGAACTTTTGTGTGAAATCTTTTTATCTCTTTATCTGTTGCTGCAGATACACTTGAATTTCCCATCCGTGGGACAATAAAGACTGTTTCTATTCTATTCTATTCTATTCTAATTATTTCTGTTCTTAACATTTTTTTGTCTTTCCTCCTATAGAAAGTACACCTGGAACTGTCATTCTGTTTGTCTGTCTCTCTTTCCCGTCCTCTCAAACCCCAGCTAGTTGAAGCAGTCCAGAGCTTGTCCTGAGCCTGGTTCTGCTGGAGGTTTCCTCCTGTTTAAAGGGAGTTTTTCCTTTCCACTGTTGCCATTGTGGCAGCACGGTGGCACAACTGGTAGAGCTGCTGCCTCTCAGCAAGCAGGTCCCTGGTTCAAATCCCGGTATGGGGGCCTTTCTGGGTGGAGTTTGCATGTTCTCTCCGTACATGTGTGGGTTTTCTCCAGGTACTCCAGTTTTCTGAACATGGTCACTGGCGACCCCCATGACCCAAAATGGAAGAAGCAGGTAAAGATGATGGATGGATGGATGTTGCCTTTGAACAGAAGCAAATCGTTGTGCTTGCTCAGGATTGAGACTGTGATGAAGTGAAGATTCAACACAGTCTGCTGCTTCCTTAGAAAGAGAACTTTACTAACTGGTTGCAAAACTGGTTGATCCACTCTGAGAAGGTGCTATTTAAGAGACTGAGCTGAATACAGCACCTCAGACTGAGGAAGTCTCTCAGACGAGAGACGAAACGTTTCTACATTTTTTTGTTGATTTGCTTTGTTTTGTTTTTTTGAATGTCCAGAGGACCAGATTTAACTTTTTTAGATTTTTCTACCTGGATTATTGAGCAGCATCAGGATATTTACTAACTGACTTCTTTAATGTATGTGAACGTTTCTCTTCAGTGCCCTGAGACAACTTATTTTGTGACTTGGCTCTATATAAATAAACTGAATTGAATTGTACACAACCCACAAAAGACAAATAAAAAAAGTTAGACATTTCTCTGAATATTTGTTTACTGTCTGGAAAATACTGAAGTCTGGTGGCATTCACACAAATTGCATTTACTATAGTTTGCAATAAAGAGAGATATAGTAAAACTAAATATCAAAGAAGAGCACTTGTGAGTGGGATACATTTGATTTGTAGTCACATTGAACATTTCTGTCAAAACTGAGCACTGAACAAAATTTAAGATCAACATTCACAAAAGATGGCAAAGACAAACCAAATGCATTCATTTACAAAAATTCTGCATAAAGCCAGTGGTTGGATCGGCTGCAAAAAATATTAAAAGCATGTAAACAATAAAATGCTTTCATTAATGTTGAAACAAATTCAAAAACAGATGAAATTTCCATTTGTTGCATAACTTGGTAGCTATAAAGACAAAAAATTCCCAAAATCTTTGTTCTAATGCCATTACTAAACAAAAACAAATCACTTCTTTACAAGAAAACGTCTGTTTCAAGGAGCTTCTGTGAACAACTAAAGAAAACGAGGAGAAAGAGAAACCCCTGGAAATCACTCGAGGCTGTCATTAGCACCAGTTAACAGCTTGACAATGGCACAAACCACAAAATCTGCAGTAAAGAATCAGAAATAATCTGAAGATCTGTTCAGAGGAGACAAACTGATACATTTCACTACTTTAAAATTAAGGCATCCTTGGTTTTGTGCAGGAGAGCTTCATTTAAGAGCAAAGCTGTAGGAAGCTGCAAATTAGCATCAAGTTAGCTGAACTAAATTTAATCTTGGTGTCTGCAGTCACTTCCTTATAGCTGGCCCGCTGCTGATGTAGGGACGGAACCACACAAGAGTCAAGCTCTGCCATCATCTGAGGTAGAGTGGAAGGAAAACCATCAGCAGCACAGCTGGGCGCTGAAAGCATTAATGTGAGAAGCAACCATGTTGGACAGTAACCGTGGAGGAGCTGCAGAGATCCACAGCTCAGGTGGGACAGTCTGTCCACAGGACAAGCATCACGCTTGAACTTCACAAATCTAACCTTTATGGAAGAGTGTGGGGAAAACCCATAAATTAACATCCAACAAAGTTAAGTCAGGTCCTCGGGACGGTTTCGTTGTTTGTTGAAACGTTTCTTCTTTCATATAAAAGACTTCATCAGTCCGAGGAGCCACAACAAACTCAGTCTTATAAATAACACCTTCACATAGTGGACCAACAAGTTTGATGGTGCCAAGATGGTTTCTGAAGCCCGCCCTCTTCCCCGTGACTCGTTTGAGGGAGTCTCAGACTGCCTCCTTGGACTGAAGAAGTCTTCTGGATGACAGACGAAACGTTTCAACAAAAAGAAACCGTCCAGAGGAGCTGACTTAACTTCGTTGGATTTATCTACCTGGATTATTGAGCATGAATCAGGATACCAAAGTCCAGGTTCAATAATCCAGGTACAAATCCAACAATGTTCAGTCAGGTCATCTGGATGGTTGCTTTTTTTGCTGAGACGTTTTGTCCTTCATCCAAAGGACTTCTTCAGTCCGAGGAACCACAAAGAAACTGGAGTCCCACAAGTACCAACTCCCATAGTGGAACCACCAGCAAACAGTTTTTTTCCCCACTATGGGGGTTGGTGCTAATGGGACTCCAGTTTGTTTGTGGCTCCTCGGACTGAAGAAGTCCTTTGAATGTAGGTCGAAATGTCTCAGAAAAAAAGAAGAAGAAAGCATCCAGATGACGTGACTGAAAATTGTTGTATGAATCAGGATGTTTTGAACCATGGATGAACAGTTTGGCATTACTTTACATTATATGTAAAGTTTGTAGTAACGTGAAGGGAATGATGACTTCCTGCAGGTGCTGTGTGCTGGCAGCGACACAGAAACAACATGTGTGTCACGATGTTGTCGTCAGTACATAAAAATAAGGCCACGGGTGAATACTCATTAGTTACGGCATGACAATATTAAAAAATAAATAAATGAATAGAACCAACAGTTTCCTAGTAAAGGTTAATGAACTGGTCAGAGTTAATGATTATTTAGCTCTCCTGATGATCTTATGGTCAATTATTAGTCACAGCTTCAGTCAAATGATAAGACACGATAAGATGATTTTTTTTTTTGCACGCAAATGAGTAAAAGCTTTTGTACAAAATCAAGTTGATTTCAGCTTATCTGAAATTAGTTTTGGTCCTTCTGAACATCCAAGCTGTTAATCTGTTGTGGTCAGTGGTTATCACATCTAAAAATCAGGACATTGTCTAAGAATGTGATTAAAGTCAAGAAAAAGAAATGTTACTCCCCACACATAAAATAAATGCTTCACATCAAGGATACATGGTAATCAAGTCCTATAAGCACATAGTGAAATATAAAGGTCATGTGAACTTATGGCTCCACTGCTAAAGGAATAATTTGGCGTTTTGGGTCAGTAGAAGTTCAAAGTTCTTCACATACATTTTTGAAGGATGCACACGTGGGTTCCTGAGCGTTGGGGCTTGTTCTGGTCGTACTTTGTGACTGAGCAGCTGCCAAAAGAGACAGAGGTGAAAATGGGAAGAAACTCACATTAACTGTTGGCTAAACGTTTCACAAGCTTCTGGGTTTAAAACCCACAGAGTACTAGAGCCACTCAGGAAAAAACTGGGATTTTTTATTTATTTCTAGATTAAAGTTAAAATGTTGAGATTAAAGATGAAATATTATAGAAAGATGAAATATTATAGACATAATAAAAGTGTTATTACCTAAGCCCATACAGTATTTGTTTTATTTATTATTATTAATATTGTATCTGATTTTTTGGTTGAAATGGGTGCACGTGTCTGCAGTAACCTCAAACCTAACTGAACCAGTAAGAAACAGGATTTATTACTCTGACAGCGCATCTCTCAGTTTCAATCTTTCACACTGAATTAGATCAATTAATGATATTCTGAGTTTTTATGTAAATTATATTCAGACTTTCAAATATACATATTGTTCAGACTTTTTTCTGTAAAGAATGTTCTGCCTTCCTGTAAAAACATTTAGGCTTTGTGTGGAGAATATGTCTGGGCACTGGTTAAAGCGCCTCACAGCAGGAAGGACGCAGGTCAAAGTCCTTGCTGGGTTTCCTCCCACAGACCAAAACCGTGCATGTGAGGCTGACTGTTACTCTAAATGGTCCCTAGGTGAGAGAGAGAGGACGAATGGTTGTTTGTCTCTATGAAGGACTGGGGACCTGTCCAGGGTGTCCCCACCTCTCACTCAGCAACTCCCCATGACCCTGAACCATGACACTTTGCTCTCAGACTGCAGGTTTACTTGTGGTTCCTAGAGTTTCAAAAGCAGAGTCGGAGGTAGAGGCAGTTCTCAGGCTCCTCTATTGTGGAACCAACTTCCAGTTTCTGTCTGTGAGGCTGACACGTTATCAGCATTTAAGATTAGATTTAAAATCAGATCTAAGAATATAAACCATAAAAAATTCATTAAAATAAACCGTTACTTTCCCAGAACAAACTAAAAAAATCATTAAATGTGGTATATTAGATCTGTTTCCTCTAAATCCCTGTTAGTTAATGAACTGATAACTGATCATCATATTGATTTATTGTGTCTGACACAAACTTGGCTACAACAGGAGGATTTTGTTGGTATAAATGAATCCACTCCTGTTAATTATTTCAATTTTCATGTTCCTAGAACAACTGGCCGAGGTGGAGGAGTAGCTTCTATTTTTCAGTCAGGATTATTGATTAATGCCAAACCAGTTATTAGTTATGATTCTGTTGAATCGCTGTCCCTCAGTCTTTCTCATCCAAAATGGAAATCAGAAAAGCCACTTTTACTAGTTGTTATATATCGTCCACCAGGAGCTTACTCTCAGTTTTTGGCTGAATTCTCAGAATTATTAACTGACTTATTATTAAATACTGATAAAATCATCATAATGGGTGATTTCAATATTCATGTAGCAGCACGGTGGCGCAACTGGTAGAGCTGCTGCCTCTCAGCGAGCAGGTCCCTGGTTCAAACCCCGGTCCAGGGGCCTTTCTGGGTGGAGTTTGCATGTTCTCTCCGTGCATGCGTGGGTTTTCTCCGGGTACTCCGGTTTCCTCCCACAGACCAAAAACATGCATGTTAGGCTGATTGGTAACTCTAAATTGTCCCTAGGTGTGAGTGAGAGAGTGGATGGTTGTTTGTCTCATTTGTCTCTATGTGTCCCTGTGATGGACTGGAGACCTGTCCAGGGTGTACCCCGCCCCTCGCACAGTGATTGCTGGACATGGACACCGGCGACCCCGTGACCCAAAATGGAACAAACGGGTAAAGATAATGGATGGATATATATAAATATATATATATTTACATATATACATATATATATATATACAAAAATATATATATATTTACATATATACATAATATATACATAAATATATATATATTTACATATATACATATATATATATATACATAAATATATATATATTTACATATATACATATATATATACATAAATATATATATATTTACATATATACATATATATACACAAATGTATATATACACATATATATATACACGTATATATACATATATATATATATATATGCATATATATATATGTATATATGCATATATATATATACATATATATATATATATACATATATATATATATACACATATATATATATAT